CCCTAAGATGTTCAGGTCCAAAAACCATAACCTCTGTCTTATCTGAGTTTAGAAGCAGAAAATTAAGAGTCATCCATGTTTTTATGTCTTTAAGACATGCTAGTAGTTTAAGTAACTGGTTGGATTCATCAGGTTTCATGCATAAATATAACTGAGTATCATCAGCATAACAATGGAAAGTTATCTCATCCTAATCCAGGGGAACTGCCCCCGATGTCCACGTAATATTGTAGAGTCGCATCTACCAACACAACCCCACAACATCCAGAGCTTTAAGGAACTCCGGGCGAATCTCAGCCACCCCAGGTGCCTTGCCACAGAGGAGCTTTTTAACCACCTTGGTGACTTCGGCACCAGAGATTGGAGAGTTCGACCCAGGGTCCCCAGGCTCTGCTTCCTCATGGGAAGACTTGCTGGTGGGATTGAGGAGGTCTTCAAAGTATCCTGCCCACCGACTCACAACGTCCCGAGTTGAGGTCAGCAGTGCACCATCCCACCATAAACAGTGTTAGAGGTGCATGGGCAACACCTGAGTGAAAAAAATGTCCAACCCCTCTCGAGGAGACTGGTTCCAGAGCCAGCTTCTGTAGCCGAGGATCGGACCGCCAGGGTCCTCGCCCTCGACGACTGCCCATTACACATTGCATCCCATCCCTACGGCCCATCCCACTGGTGGTGAACCCATGGGAAGGGGGATCCATGTCTCCTCTTTGGGCTATGCCAAGCCGGGCTTCATTGGTGAAAGACTGGCCACCAGGCGCTCGCCAGCATGCCCTTTTTCCAGACCTGGCTCCAGAGTGGGGCCCTGGTGACTCGCGTCCGGTTGAGGGAACACTGAATCCATTGTTGTTGCTCATCATTAGGGGTCTTCAGGCTCTACTTTGTTTGATCCCTCACCTAGGACCTGTTTGTCTTGGGTGATCCTACTGGGGCATGAAGCCTCTGACAACATAGCTCCTAGGATCATTGGGACACTCAACCCTCTCCACCATGATAAGGTGGCAGGCCAGGGAGAKGTTATAGTTGGTGATGAACAGTAATTCAGTATTGATATATATTGCGATAGAAAAYATTTCAATAAGTGACATGACYAATAAATTTGATTGATATATGTTATATCAGTGCRTGAYGATGTACACCACAGACTCCAAGGCAGTGCTCAGTGCTACCGCTCTGTTTACACCAAGCTAACAACAAGCTGCCTACAACACAGTGGACATCTGCACCAAATTGAGCTCAACATCTGTTGGTGAACAAGAATCCAGAGTTCAAAAGGAAGCAGAAAAAAGAGTTAAGAAAGGAAAGACTGTAAATCAGAGGTGTAGAAGTGGTTCAGGTGTAGAAGTGGTTCAGGTATCAAAGGTCTGATAAACTTCAGCTTCAGAGGGAACTCATCAGATCTGTTCCACTGTCTGATAAAGTTCCACTGTTTGATAAAGTTCCACCGTCTGATAAAGTTCTACCATCTGATAAAGTTCCACCGTCTGATAAAGTTCCACCATCTGATAAAGTTCCACCATCTGATAAGAGTTCCACTGCCTGATGAAGTTCCACCGTCTGATAAAGTTTCACCGTCTGATAAAGTTCCACTGTCTGATAAAGTTACACCGTCTGATAAAGTGCCACTGTCTGATAAAGTTCCCCCGTCTGATAAAGTTCCACTGTCTGATAAATTACCAATGTCTGATAAAGTTCCACCATTTGATAAAGTTCCACTGTCTGATAAATTACCAATGTCTGATAAAGTTCCATCGTCTGATAAAGTTCCACTGTCTGATAAAGTTCCACCATCTGATAAAGTTCCACCGTCTGATAAAGTTCCACCGTCTGATAAAGTTCCACTGTCTGATAAAGTTACACCGTCTGATAAAGTGCCACTGTCTGATAAAGTTCCACCGTCTGATAAAGTT